AACAGTAAGTAAAAGTAACATATTTAAAAGTACTTAGAGTAGAAAAGAAAAAGTAAAGCAGAACAAATGTTATGGACAGATGCTTAAAACCTCATACTTGTTATTGCGCTACCCTTTTAAAGTAACATTTTCTGGATAAATTCCTTTGTGTTATAACCAATGGCCACAGCGGGAACTTTAACTTTGCAACATCTTAAAGGGAAACACTAGTTTTTTTTACATTGGGCTCTTGATTTTACATTATTACATCATGTTCCTCTCAACCATATGAGTTTTGTGTCATTTGGAGCCGTTCTGAAAATATTCCGTTAGGTTATATCCAAGTAACGTCTTCCTATGGGCAACGACTTGAAGGCACAAGCTAAACACTTTATCATTTATTCTTTATGGTACGCCAGTATTCATAACATGTAGGCGAATCACTGACATCCGCAGTTATATTTTTTATATTTATATTTTTTTTTAAACAAAGCGGCACGTGTGTGAGAATGTTTACTTGTTTTTGAGAATGTGCATCGATGTCAGTCAGTGGTTTCCTTGCAGCAGCAGAGTCTGATTTGTGATGTCTGCTTTTGATCTTTTCTTATTGCACAGACAGACTGGTTTGTGTTGTGTGTTTGGGGGGGGTCTCTTTACTGCATTCTTAAACGTTTCTAATGTGTGCAAATTTACAGTAAGACTGAGAAAACATGCTCCATGAGCTTCTTGCATGTGTCGGATAATTCTTCACATCTCTGATTAGCAAACAGTTTTAGATGCATTAATTATAGAAATTCAAAACAATAAAAATACCAAAAAGCAGAACTTCCACATTGTTTCACTAGAGCCGGACAACAGTGTTTGAAAATAAAATCTAAGATATTGTGATATCAGATTTTTTATTTTATTTTTTTCCCTTCCAAGAATCACTAAATCCATATTAATGATGACTGATCACAGCATCAAATCCATTATGGCTTCAATATTGTTGTTTCATCTACATTGTATGATTAAATTAAACCACAATTTCCCCATAGTGGGACAATAAAGGTATTAAATAAAGGGAATAAAGTAATGCTTGGTTCTTGTAGAACTGTGCTTCAAATTAAGAAATAATTTTCTGGTGTTTCTGGTGTTTTTACTGTTTTCAGACTCTAAAGTGCCAAGATGGATCACTCTCTAGGTTAGCTTAGAAGGAGACCGGCTCATCACAGAAAGACTTATTTAAGACATTAAGATAACGGAAGCAGTTGCTGTCGCACAGGAAATGGACAAAATTACACAATCGAGTCCATAGATAAGAGTTGTTTCTTAGATCATTTGGGGAAATTGATGCAAAGCTTCTTTCATCTCTGTCAGATGGGCCCAGTGTTTTTGATGTTGGCTTTGAACAAATCATTCTCTGCTTTACTGAAACTCTAGGATTTCATTTTGTCTTTGCAGAGCATGTACACTCTGTTAAAAATTAGAGGACATAATCTGTTTTAATGTTTTTACTTTTTTTGACAGACTGTTAAACGGACCTATTTTTAAAGTCGTACGGAAATCATGTTTAAATGTCAAATCATTGTGGCTTAAACATGTATGCAAATGTACTCTTTATCAGATGATATTGTCCCAAAATGGAAAAAATTTCTATTTAAAAAAAAAATTGTCTTTTTTTTTTTTTT